CCTATATTCTAATAGGTGGAGGCAAACAATATACAATAAGCATAATTAATAAGTAAAGTACATTGAATTTGTCAAAGGTGCTATGGGGAAAGGAAGAAGCAGATCATTTTAGGGAGGAATCGGAGTGCCGAGCATGGGCTGGGAAGCATGTGAGGTATTAAACAGAATGGTCTATTAAATGTCACTGAGAGATGACATTTGTATGAAGACATAGAGAATGCAAAGTTAAACGGCAGCCAAACTGGAATTTATATAATTGTCCAAGAAATGGAATTCAATGCAGAGGCCCACATAGAACATATCGCACAAAGAACAGACAAGATAATTGCAGCAATGACTGGGAGGAAAGAATGTGCACATGTGGTATAAAGTGCAGGGTGACAAGCTGAATTACAAAATTGTGCTATAGATCAAAATAGAGTTAATATCCAAACAAACAAACAGACATTATTCTTTTCAGTGTGAGCAACATTTGGCTCCAAGCTAGAAGCAGAAAGCATGCACTCAGAGACAGCTTATCTGTAACTTATTAAGAAGACTAAGATGTCTTCACTGACTTCCACCCTGACATGACAGAAGAGAATGTAGTTTAGGTGCCAGTGACTAAATATTCTTAATCCTTGTCTCACAAAACAGTCACCTCACCAGAACTGCCACACTGACAGACAAGGCCTTAGATTTCCCTATTCAAAGAAAAATTCCCCACCAACTGCTGAAGGAAAGAAAAATAAGTACTAGTCCACTAAGCACACTCACATGCAACTTAATGGGAAACTGAAGAGAACAGAGACCAATCGATCAAATCTACAGGCACCCAGGAATACATCAGCATGATCAAGCAGCAGTGTTGGGAAGAGCACAATTACACATTGAGGAATGCGACCAATCCTCCCGCTAGGATGTTACCAAGGAAATTCTTAGGCTGGGTTTGTATTACGCTACTCTGGATAACTTGGGGTTTTGATCCACACAGTTTCATGTATGAATGCATGACTGAAGTGACAAATCAACTGGCAATCAATCATTCATCTAGCAGTCATTCAGTGGAAATGGATTAAGGGAGGAGCTACCACATTTCAGGCACTATGCTACAGTGTCAGGACTGCAGAGATGGCTAAGAAGAGCCCCTTCTCTTAGGAAGCTCACAGAATAACGTAAAGACAGTTGTGTACACAAATAGCCACCATCCTGTATCAAAGTACCACAGAAGACAATACACAAAGTGCTGCATGATCATGGGACAAGAGGAGCAGAACCACAAGTTTTGGATGGGAACTTAAGGGAAATTGAATAGCTCAGTGGGCCTGAACTTGTAATTGAGGTTTCTCTGGTGAACAAGTGTGGGCTGAAATTGCATGGCAAAAGAAAGGGGTCGGTGTATTCACAGAGTAAATTACTGAGAATCACATATACCTTAGGGACACCCAAGACGAACTGGTCTGTGCAGGGGTTTGGAGAAAGCGTGACAGGGCAGTATTACAACTTAATGCTCAGTTTTCAATGAAGAAACTTGGTTGATTTCAAAATGGCTGTTTTTGGAATAATTCTAATATTGCCTGCTCTAGTCACATTGGTGTAGGCATTGATGAGTGTTGTGAAGTGTGTGGTCGATCTAGATGGTGGTACATACTCTGCGTGTGTGTTGTGTTACTGTACATGTTCATTAGAATATTTATGTACTTAAAAGTTAAGATCATATATATGCTTGCTCTAGGATCTGGGACATGTTTTATCCTATGAGAAGATGTTGTTCGTTCCCATTATAATGGCCTTTCAAGTTAGACTGAATTAAAACTTATCAAAATTAGCATCTATGTGTGAATGTTGCCCATGTGGCAGGTGAGACAGAGCTAATGTTTTCTGCTCCAGTCCCAGCTACAGACTGGGTTCCATAGTGGAGACTGAATGTCTGTCGTGGAAGGAGCATTTGAAATTAGGAGCAGGAAATGTCTACGAAACAAGAATCAGTGCTACACTGGAGAGCTAGTCTCCATGCTGCCTGATTACCATGAAACTATTTCTTTCTGCTCAGCACCACAGGACAAGATGAATGGTCCAAGATAAACCTAATTTCCCTTCAGTTCCCATCCATTGAGAGGAGTCAATGGAGCTGCTCAAAGACCACAGAAATCTGAGAGTTGTGTGGCTGCCGTGGTCCTGAGGCCATGCTGCTCTGTATGGACTCTGGGCACACAGACTGCAGAGCCAGGGGCTTCTCCACAGGGCCAGGAGTCAGAAGAAAACCTGAAAACAATCGGGATGGACCCGGAGAGAATTAGGAATGTGACAAGTAGGGTCTTTGGCTCTATAGCTCAGGGCTGAATCCCTTAGAGGCCAAAAGTAGCAAAGCAAAGGAGCAGTCTTCCATCCAAGAGAAGGGTGGTGCCCGGTAGACTCAGGACTGGCACAGGGCAACACAGGGCCTGAAAAAGCCGCCACTCAATGTAGGCCTTAGCCCAGCACTTTTAAAGTTGGGAGACACACAATTATGTTGAAAATATCAGATTGTGAGCATATTTGAAGGGGCCAGAGGGCTCAACATCAACGTAATAAGAACTGGAGAAGTACCTGAGAAGAGGGCAAGGCACAGTCAAGGCAATGGCATCAAAGAAGCAGGCCAGGGGCTTCATATCTTAGTGCCATGGCAAGAATGATGCCATTCCTTAGTGAGGAGAGATGAGCAGGGAAGTAGGAAGCAAATGGGGTGGAGGAAGAGAGGAGTAACAAGGAAGAACACGTGGATATATGTCACAAGTAATTATCTGGCATTATCTACGTCAATAAATGGATAGAAATTCTGCATTGTAAGGACCAAAAATACTTGAATCAAGGACCTCATTGACAATTGGGCAGACAAAGCATGATGCCCACTGAGAGACTGCTATAGCAATTCCACCTGGCTAGGCAGCTGATGGCATTAGAGACTGAACAGGTTCTACCTTTGTGCTGAAATTTTCAGTTCTACAGATGAGACGCTCTCAAATCAAAGTCCATATCTCACTCTGGCATAAAGCCACACTAAATGCTTACCTTCTCAAGGATCTCAATTTCTTCTTTACAGCAAATGAGCAATGGAAGGATGGTCCAGGGAAATAATGAGGTTTGCATGGCAATGGGATTTAATCAAGGGAAAAATTTAAATGTACAACCTCTATAAGCAGGATTGTACTTAGCTGGAACCACTTAAAATGGATCACACATACACTGATCAGTTATGATTCAAGGAGTCCAAAGTCGTTTCATTCCCTGGAACTCTGACTTCTTCCAGTGTTTCATGTGGACAGATCCTGATGTAAGCATGGCCTTACTTTTTAACTAATTTATTCTGAAGATAGGGCACTCTTTTTTCAGTCCCAATCTACAATTCACTTAGACTCCTCATTACTTCTAGTCATGCAACTAAATTAAGTAGGGAAAAGAGTCTCCAAGCATGGACAGAAACTGATGGGAGGAATAATAGAATAGGGACCAGAAAGACAGCTTTAGTTAGGGTAGGAGTTGCAGTATTTTCCAAATCTGTCAGCCTCACAATGTGGTGTTTCAGTAAGGGTTGAGTCATGACTCTATTTCAATTACTCCACAAAAGAAAGAAAACTGTACGTGACAGTATACATGAACACTATACAGCAGCTAAATCTGTGAAAAGAGAGGGCTGGAGTTGTGTGCTGTATGGGTAATGTGGGAAAGGTCACCCCACTGTTTGAAATCCAAGGGTGCTGTGTGTTGCTGTGTGTGTGAGAGAGAGAGAATAGAAGGAAGAAAAAGAAGAGAAAGAGGAAGAGAAGGAAGAAGAAGGAGGAAGAGGAGGGAGCAGGAGGAGGAGGAGGAGGAAGAGGAGGATGAGGGAGGAGGAAGAGGAGGAAGAGGAGGAGGGAGGAGGAGGGAGAAGAGGAGGGAGGAGGATGAGAGGAGGGAGGAGGGAGAGGAGGAGGAGGAGGGAGACAGAGGAGGGACAGGAACAGAAAGAGGAGGGTGGAGAGATGGCAGGGAGAGAGAAGATAGAGCAAAGACACCGACCCAGAAGTAGAAACAATTCTGGTGACATTGTAGATGATGTATTGTCACGAATGATCTTTATATCATCTTGCTATTTCAGGAGTTAATTCTAATAATAGTAATAACATTGTAATAATTGTTATTAATATCCAAACAGAGATTAATGGCTGGACATTGAAGAAATATAATTGTGAGACACTAAGTGTCATTATATCAGATGAGGCAAGTGAAATGCTGAAGGAATTAGGGTATCCTTAGTCTGCAAACTACAGGGCAGTTAATTCTTCTTTTGAATGGAGTGTCTAATTCTGGCAAACTCAATACATGAGTAAGGTTTCCCATTTCTGAAACAATGCCTGGTAAGGAGTAAATGCTCAATAAATATTTGGTATTTCATGATTCCTGCACTGGAGGGAGGTGTCAGCCTAAGTTGCTCTGACCAGACAAAAATGCCCATGCTCAGGCAACGTGCTTCCAGCTTAATCGCTTCCACACTCTTTCTTTAGAAGCAAACTTGAACTCAGCCCAAGGGCGGACTTGCTCTTCTCAAGTAAGAGTGACAGAGCTGTGCAGGCGCAGTGGCTCACACCTGTAATCCTGGCACTTTGGGAGGCCCAGGCAGGCAGATCACAAGGGCAGGAGTTCGAGACCAGCCTGACCAACATGGTAAATCCCTGTCTTTTAAAAATAAAAAAATAAGCCAGGCATGATGGTGCATGCCTGCAATCTCAGCTGCTTGGGAGGCTAAGGCAGGAGAATTGTTTGAACCCACGATGTGGAGGTTGGAGTGAACTGAGATTGAACCACTGCACTCTAGCCTGGTGACAGAGCAAGACTTTCTCTCAAAAAAAAAAAAAAAAAGTGACAGAGCTCATGTTAGATGAAGTGAAATGTTACTTATTCAAGTCTCAGAAAAGACCCTGAAAGAGAGCCCCTCAAATCTTGAAGGCAAAAACCTTTCCCATCCCTGGTTCATCCACTGACACCACGAGGGAGAGCTTTCCTCTTGACCTCGAAGCTTCTCCAAGAGTTTCTCTCTGTGCTCTAGGCATCTAACAGTCAGCTCCTGTGGTGAAAACAGACAAAGCTCTATTTGTCTACTTGTTCACCAGATGTTCCTTCTTTCTACTTGTTTTACTTTTTTTTCCAACTCCTGACTCTAAGTTGAAAAATTGAGCAATTCATATGAGAAAGCTGAATATTCAATTATAGGAAAATAAGAAGCATGAAATAACTTGGCTATTAATTTGGATCTGGCAAGTGTGTGTCTTTTCCACACTCTTTAGGTGTAGAAGCCAGGGCTGTGCCAGCATCAGCTGCTCCACACTCAGGTGCAGATGGGGACAAGGGTTAGGACCAAGAAGAACGTAATTGTAGATGAGAGAATTATAAACCAAGAGTCCTAGAATTGGTGGCAGGTAAACCTGAAAAGAAAACTATAATGGTCTTCTAAAGGAAGGATTTTCTATGTATAAAACTACTGACAAAAGTCACAAGAAAGTGTGAGATTTGACTACATGAAAAAATTAACCCAGAATGTATCATAAGAAAATTAATAAGCAAAGAGTAGACTTAAAAAAGTGTAGCAACATGAAAATTAGCCAATAGCAATACCCTTAACACATAAAGGACACTTACAAATCAGTTTTTAATAAGTAACTGTGAAAGTACATGGATAGATGGAGAGACAGATTAATCTTAGATCGATCGATCTATCTATCTATCTACCTACCTACCTACCTGTCCTAGGCCATTTGGGATGCTATAACAAAATACCATAAACTGGGTGGCTTATAAAAAACAAATTTATTTTCCACAGTTCTGGAGGCTGGAAAATTCAAGATACTGATCCAAGATCTTGGTTTCAGCCGATTCGGTGTCTGGTGAGGGCCCACCTCCTCATAGACGGTATCTTTTCACCGTGTCCTCATGGTAAAAGGGGTAAACAAGTTCTCCAGGTTCTCTTTTATAAAGGCACTAATCCTGTCCTCATCATCTGACAAAGTGCTCGCCTCCTAATACCATCAGCTTGAAGGCTGATATTTTGACATATGAATTTGGAAATTGGGAAGATACAAACACTCAGATCCTAGCGCTCGCTCTCTCTCTCTCTGTCTCTCTTTCTCCCTATCATCTATCTATCATCTATGCATCTATGTAGATATGTATCTATCATCTAAGTATCTATATATCTGTGTATCTTTCTATGTACCTATGTATCTATCCATCTATGTATCTATGTACCTATCTCTGTATCTCTGTACCTACCTCTGTATGTATGTATGTATGTATGTATGTATGTATGTGTGTATCTATCTATCTATCTATCTATCTATCTATCTATCTATCTATCTATCATATAAGAACATATTATTAGCTGGAATCATGGACTCCGGACTGGAAGCAATCTCAGTGATTAATCCTAACCTATGTCCTTGGTTCCTTGGTGTTTTTCCTTTCCCAGTCTTCCAAATGCCTCTCACACCTTCACCTCTCTCTTCATACCACCCACCTCCCCTCTTCCTGCCTCACACTCAATGAACAACTTTGCCTCACACATTACGGAGCACACTGAAGGACTCAGAAGAGAGCTGTCACTCCCTCTCATCATCGCATCTCAAACTCTCTGCCTGTGCCTCCAGCAAGTCTACCTTCACCCCCGATCCAAGAGAGAGATGTGTGAAGGGGTGTGCTGCAGAGGATGTAGGCTCCTGCTCCAGTCAACGGGCAGCTTCCCTAGACCCCATCCCTTCCAACCTTCTTGAGGGAGTAGTTCCTGCACTTGAAATTTTTCTGCTGTAAAATCAACTTCTTCCAACAAAGAAACCCATGAGCTAGCATTCTTTATTTTTAAAAATAGGCTTTAACCACTACTCATCAAAACACTCTTCTCTTGTCTTCTAGGAGACCAGACTCTCCTGTTTTGCCTCTGGCTCCTTTTCAGCCTCCCTCTTGTTGAACCTCTAAAAGTGGGAGGACCCCAGGGCCAGGTCTTTTAGCCTTTTCTTTACCTAATCTCCCAGGGGACCACATTCAGTTTCATGGCTTTAAATACCATTAGCTATAGATTAAATTGCGTTTCCTCTAAGCATTTTGATGTTGTAAACTGTAATACCTGTGAATGTGACCTTATTTGGAAATAGGGTATTTGTCGATGTAATCAAGTTAAGATAAGGTCATTAGAGTGAACCCTTATTCAAAACCTGGTCTTTTTTTACAAGAAGAGGGAATTTGAACACAGACATAGGAAGGGAGAAAATAGAGGTGGAAATTGGTCACAAAATGCCAGTTGGAAACTGGAGGTAAAAATTGGTCAAAAAAATGCCAAGGAAGCTAAGAGAAAAGCACAGAACAGATTCCCTTTTAGAGCCTTGAGAAAGCATTGTCCTGCTAACATCTTGATTTTAGACTTCCAGATTCCAGAACTGTGAGATAATAAGTTTCTGTTGTTTGGGGTACTTCATTATTGTAGACCTAAAAACCAGTACACAATCTATATACTATTAATTCTAAGATGTTATATCCAGCCCCGACCAAGTCTTAACTCTATATTGCATATCTGATTATCCACTTGGTATATCTTTAAATTTCTATTTGGAATCTCAAAGCAGAAATCATGATTTCCATTCCGCAACCAGATTTCTTTCTGATTTTCTCTTATTAGTAAATACCCCATACTGATGATAACTTAAGAGTCATTCTTGATTCTCTCTTTCTTTTATTCTGTATCCAATAAACACATAAGCAACTCTTATCAACTTCACTTCCCAAAGAGATTCCAGATGTGTCCATCTCCTTCCATCCTGACTGCTTCCACCTTATGGGGAACGGTCAGTATCATCTCCTATCTGGACTCCTGCCACTGTGAACCAACTGGTGTTTCTGCTTTCACTGCAACCTGCCCTTACAAAAGGTGATTCTGAAAAATAAATAGTCCAGGTGTGATCCCATCCCTGCTGAAAGCCTCCAGTTCAACCTCTCTACACTGTGCTTTAAGAGTCTACCTAGCTCCTTAGAAACTGTTGTCATCTTGTGCCACATTCCGCTCTGCCCTGTTCTCTCCAGCCATACTTGCCCCATTTCTATTCAGCAAAACTCAAAGCTTTTCCTATTCTAAGTCCTGTGCACTGACTTACCCTCTACCCAGCATGATTTTCCCCAGATTATTGCATGGCTGTCTCCTTATTATTCTGATTTCACTTAACAGTCTCTCAGTTGTGTCAGCCTGCTTTAATCATTGTCGAATCACTAGAACCAGCTAAGAAGTTCTTATTTATCTTCTGTCTTCTTTTAACGTATTTTAAGTTGCATGAGATAAAATCTCCTGTTGTCTTGTTCCTTGCTATATTCCTAGATCCTACAATACTGCCTGGCCAAGAGTACTCAGTAAGTAGCCTTTGTATGAATAAACTAATCCACTGCAGTTCCCCTTCATGTTTTTTAAAAGATGAGAAAATATAAATGGTGAGTTCAATGCCTTTCCCAGGCTGTGCAGTGATGTTTCGGCCTTTCCCTTTGCAATTCAGTGCTCCCTCCAAGACTTGTTATATCTGTCTGGAAGTGGAAAGTCTGAATCTGTTCATTCAGTGAGTTCATCAATTAATCATTTAAATGCAGTGCCTCCTATGCACTAAATGCTCTGCTCTGTGCTGAGAATATAAAGCTAAATCACTGAGGGCTCATACCCTTAGGAGTTCAGACAGGTAAACTTCAGTAACTATCAATATAAAATAAGTGATGTAGTGAAGGCTACAGTTAAATGCTGCAAGAGCAAAAATGATGCAATAAAAGAGTATTTCCTCCATGTGAGGATGCTGAACTAAATCTATCCATAACATTTTGCACACAAAAATATCTAGATGACTGTTATGACTAGTAAGTAGAAGGGCTTGTCAAACTCTCCTCCTTTTCTTCTGAAGAAACTCTTCTGTCTATGGAGATCATTATCAGTAGATAGATTTCCATTGATTTGGATGATTTAGATTAAAATGGCAACAAATAAAAATTGAGTACTTTCTGTGTCTTGGGCCCTGTGCCTATTCTTGGCATGCCCCAATATTTAATTCTCAACTCTCATAACTTTTCCTTTAAAAGAAAACCCACAAATTTCCTCCTGCCTTATACTGAACCCAAATATTGTCAAGTAATAATGCAGGGAATCATTTAACCATGTAATGATAAGAGATAGGCTGAATGAGAACTCTGTTACAGATACTGTTACCTACAAAACATCTATAAAAACTCATTTTTCCCTTAGTGATTCCTGTCAATCCCCAGGGGTGCAAGAAGATGCCTGGAGGCCTTGATACAAATCCATGTTAATCCTCAACTTTCATTCTTGCATGGAGACTGCGTGAGTTTCCTAGGGCTGCTGGAACAGATGATCACAAACTTGGTGCTTGAAACAGAGACTCACCATCTCAGTTCTGGAGGCTAGGAGGACAGCACTAGTTTTACTAGGCTCAAATCAAGCATCTGCAGAGGTTCTGGGGGAGAATGCATTCTCTGCCTCCTCGCATATCTGGTGGCTCCAGCGTTCCTTGGCTGTGATCCCATCACTCCAATCTCCGCCTCCACAATTACATTGTCTCCTCCTCTTCTGCCTGTCATCTTCTGCCTCTGTTTGATAAGAATGTTTGTGATTGCATTTAGGCCCGTCTGAAGATATTTAACTCAGTCATGTCTGCAAAGTCTTTGCCATATAAAATAACCCTCATTTGTCCCAATGATTAGAGCATAGACACCTTTAGTGTGTGTGTATGGGGGGGGGTCATTATTGATCCTAGCAGAGATACTATTGATTGTATCAGGTTAACCCTTGTAACAGGTGCTTAAAATAGTCTGTTCTGTTCATTTATAGTTCTAAGCATGACTGTAGTATGTAATTTCTTGTTTATTTGTTCAGTATCTTCCGTCACTACACTAAGTTTCTAAACACAGGAAACACATTTGTCTTCCTGTCTGTTGCGTTTAGTGCCATACCTCCATCACCACTCTCACCCCAATCCACCACAATTTCTGGCACATAATAGATACTCAGTGAAATTTTTGAATGACAAATAAGTCCTCATTTAAAAGATGAGGTTCAAGTGATTTGCTCAAGTGCCTACAACTAGTTAAGTGGCAAAATGTGACCTTACGTTCCAAACCCATGAGCTCTGTTTGCCTTCCTTGGTCTGGTTCTAAAATTTTGATTCTCAAATGTCATAACTTTTCCTTTAAAAGAAAAAAAAATTCCTCCTGCCTTATACTGAGCACAAACATTGTCATGTAATAATGTAGGACACTATTTAATGAGAAAATAAGAGGTAGGCTTAATGAGAGCTCTGTTAGAGATACTGTTGCATATAAAACATCTACAAAAACGTACTTTTCACTTTGCGATTCCTGTCGATTTCCAGGGCTGCAAGAGGATGCCTGAAGACCTTGATACAAATCCATGTTAAGCTTCAAATTTCATTCTCAGAACCTCGCCCATTGATGTTTATTTTTTGAAGCTAAAAAACCTCATCATCCTTAAAATGGGATTGTAATAATTAAAAAAAATATATTTTTCTAAAGTGTCACAGGGACCAGGAGCAGTGGCTCATGCCTGTAATCTCAAGACTTTGGGAAGCTGAGGCAGGCAGATCATCTGAGGTTAGGAGTTTGAAACCAGCCTGGCAACATGGCAAAATCATGTCTCTACTAAAAATACCAAAAATATTAGCCAGGCATGTTGGCACATGCCTGTAACCCCAGCTACTCAGGAGGCTTAGGCAGGAGAATAGTTTGAACCTGGGAGGTGGAGGCAGCAGTGAGTTGAGATCGCATCACTGCACTCTAGCCTGGGCTACAGAGTGAGACTCCATCTCAAAAATCAATCAATCAATCAATCAATCAATAAAATCAAGTGTCACAGGTATTGCAAGACTGCTCAGGAAATCAGCCCAGCTAAAGCAGAATGAAGACTGGTGTTTGATGGAAACAAAAAGCACTAGCTCTTTCTGTCAAGGCTCAGATCAGCATCTAGACCAACATCTATTTTGGTTCTCCTCTCTACAGGCCATGCCTTTCAGAGAGAAAACCTAGCTACTATCGGGAGTGTGTAATATTCATTTGCCAAATGTACTGCCATCTCCATGTATGAAAGGCCAACTGAGGAGGTGAATATTACTGGGGAATCAAGAAAGCTTGTCTGATATTTTAAAAAACTTGATTATAGTGTTTTTCTCCTGAGGCAAAACCTTGAGACTTAAAGATGCTAATATAGCTTTTTTGCCCTCTCCTTTCCCTAGTGGAAGAATATCGCTTTATGATATTTTGAAACTAAAACCCCTATTAAATAAAATGTTTTCACATGCTGATTATATATAATTCATTCATATCTAAACAACGATAATTTAAAAATGCAGTCCCCAGGGAACCCGAATTTGAGAACTGCCTAGACAGAGAAGCCCTTGAGAAGAAAAGCCCCAGCAAGAATTTGAAAGGGCTTCTAGAAGGCACAGAAAATCCTGCAGAGGGAAAGGAATAAGAGGCATTAGGAGGAAGAAAAAAATCTTACATTATTATTTCCTTCATAAAACTGAAGACAGTTCTAAATTTTTCAAAGCAGGGAAGGCAAATTCTTGATAGAAATAAACAGTAGAACCATTGCATCTTTCTGATTCAGCAGCTACTTTTCTGGTACTCCTCACCTGCAGATGGAGAGAAGTGGATGGACTCAAGGAGCTCTTTACGAAATATTTAAACAGAACATAGCGGTGGGTTGAATGTGGCAACACAAACAAATCAGTGATAGCTTCTTGGCTCATGTCATGAGCATTGTGTGGGTGGCAGTGCCATGTATTGAGATGAAAAAATTGGAGATGGTGCATTTTGGTGTGTGGAGAAGTCAAACTTATGAAATTTTAAGTATGAGGTGACTGGAAGACATTTGAATGTGTAAGTCTGTAACTCAAAAGAGGTGTGTGAAGTAGAGATGAAAATTGGGAATGGTGGTATTTACTCATGTGGGAGGAGATGAGGTTGCCCAGGTAAGGAGCATACCTAGACAAGACCTAGACTGGACCTTCTTAGGTCCAGTCCAGAGCCCCAAGGAACTTGATATTTAGAAGTGAAACAGAGGAAATGCGGCCATAAAAGGGGCTGGAAAAGTTTTTAGAGGAGAGAGCATGCTTTCCTGAGAAAAACTAAAGAGAGGGTGTCTAGATGATCCCACTTGGGTTTGAACTCTAGCTCTACCACCTAGCACCTTTGTTGTATGCTTGGGAACATTATTTAACTTCTCTAAACTCAAAATCATATTTGAATTTGAAGAAGTATTGCACACATATTCACAAACCTCAAAATGAGTCCTTTACAGCTCCCTGAAGAATCTATGAAAAGTGAGAACAAATTTCTCTTTTGCTTTGATTAAAATAACATTTCTTAATGTGTAAGGAAACTGATGAGCCATCTGTCTGTCTGTCTGTCTATCTATCTATCTACCTATCTCTATAGATGTTATGTAATGCTCACAAGAATTTTGTTCCTATTTTCAAATGTTTGCTTTCTAAGGGAATGATTGACACATTTGCACAATACACAGAACAGGTTAATGCAGAGATTGATTTATCTGTTCATACTTAAGAGTGATTCTCCTTACCTGAGGCACTTGAGAAATGGGGCTCACCTAATCTCGAAGAATTTCAAGTATTTCTTTGGAAAGACCAGCTTGTCGGCCAAGGGGACGTCTTAAACAATTTTTCAGTCAATTTCTGTTTGAGGGGAGAAAATATGATGACTTTTCCTGCTACAGGGAAAATTCATCTAATTTGTTTCATCTTACATTATTTAAAGGAAAACGCACTGATGAAATTGTTTTGATTTCTGGGTATTTTTCCTAAAGCTTTTAAAATGCACATAATTTTGGGAGAATGAATTCACTGTGAAGAAAGAAATTTTAAATGTCCATTCCTTTAGAGTTGAATGATTTCTAACTTTGACCATGTTTTAGAATTACCCTTTGTATCATATTTAACAAAATCCTTAGAATCTTTTAAAAAACCCACTATGTTGCCTCTCTGCAGTGTATTAGTTATATACATACTACCTTAATTTATTAATATCTGTTTGCTTGGACAATAATATGAGCAGCCAATGGTGGATGACTACATACATTAATTTGTATACGTAGACTCTCGATTCTCTCAATAGTTCTCATTATGCACCCAAGATGGTTTTTTAAAGTCACTAAAGAAAGATAGTTTATCCTCATAGAGTTAGCAACAATTTACTTTTTAATATTAATGAAATTCATATAACTATCCTTAGTGGCACATAAATTACACTTGCATGTCTTGATGGTGTAATAACTTAGATTCAGTGTTCTGCTGGGACTCTCTGTACTTCAGAGAGAATCATTTATACACTTCTTTTAAGGTAATATAGAGTTGAATTTTCATTTTGTCTCTGAAAATAAAAAATGATGTATTCCTACAGTTAGTTTTATTTTCTTAAGAGACAATAATTTCCCATCAAGAAAACAGTGTACATTTGGTTTGGAGCAATTAAGTTGATTTCTGAGTTCTAAGTTTAGAAGAAAAGAACACTCTTCTTAGTCTATAGTCATTTGATTGCATGAGAAGAACTGATGTTGTATTAAAAGAAATATATTTGCAGGCATAACCAGCTAAACTAAACTAACAAATCCAAATTATGAATAAATGAAAAAGTTCTTTCGACAAGATTGAATTGGAAACCATTAAAGAAGGTCAGAATTAGGGATGCTTTTCTTTAAACTAAATGCTTCTCTCTTATTTGTACCTCTATTCTCTAGGAGACAGTAAAGGTGGACACAATACAGAAAGGTGGGCAGAAAAATTACACAGAGCAGCCAGATTACTCACCAGACTCTGAACACTCCCCTACTATTGTTGGAATCGCTTGAAAATAGGAAAGCTCTTCTTTATAGTGGAGCAAAATTACTTCCCAGGACCTTCTAGATATTAATTCTAATTCTTTGAAATAATAGTACCTACTACACGTTTTAGTATCTGTCTTTTAATCTTCTCAAGGTAGACATAATTATTCTCCCTTTATAGATCATGAAATTAAAATTCAGACAGGTTAAATAATTTGTTCAGCCCCACATGGCTAGAAAGTGGTGGTATAACACTAAACCCAGTTCTGACTTCTAGGCTTTTATTTTTTCCTTCTGTCCCCTTCTGCCTTTTTATTTTTATTTTTATTTTTATTTTTTTTGAGACAGAGTCTCACTCTGTCACCCTAGCTGAAGTGCAGTGGCACTATCTTGGCTCACTGCAACCTCTGTCTCCCAGGTTCAAACTATTCTCCTGCCTCAGCCTCCTGAGTAGCTAGAATTATAGGCATGTGCCACCATGCCAGGCTAATTTTTTGTATTTTTAGTAGAGATGGGGTTTCACCATGTTAGCCAGGATGGTCTTGATCTCCTGACCTCATGATCTGTCTGCCTCGGCCTCCCAAAGTGCTGGGATTGCAGGCGTTAGCCACTGTGCCCAGCCCCCGGCTGCCTTTTTAAATCAAAAAAAGCCACATAGACTATTAACCTTTCTTCAATATATTGGCTCACCATACTGTTCAGCATTTTACCTTCTTACCATGTCTGCTCTCACCCATGAAAAATATTCTGAATTTACTTAGCATTTCTTTCAATGACTCAAGTTTGAATCTTCTTATCATTCTAGTTTCTCTTCTCTGGACACATTCCAAGTACTCAGTTTCTTTGTAAAGCATGGCACCACCACAACCCCAAAAATGTTCTGATGAAGGCAGATCTGGAAATGACAAATATGTACCTTGTTATGAGGATTATACTTCTTTTAATACAGACTACATGTAAATCAGTATGTATGATAGTCACTCTATCTTGTCTACAAGCATATTATACAAGTTTGTCAACATGCCTTGCTGAAACTCAATAGTCAAGTCATTTTAGAATCTTCTAGGTATTCACCCCACACTAAGCTTATTAGCTCTATCATGATTAAACAGCATATAAATGGTTTTCAAAATATCCCTTACTAGCAATCAGGCAAAACTGATTTTCTTACTTGTCTTATCCCAGAGCATGTGCTGTGTCATTATACACAAATCATTTTCTCCTTGTGGAGAGTCACTTTCTAATGTAAGGGACAGCATACATCCTGCTGCTGATTAAATAGATGAGAAAGATCAAACAAAGGCAGATGTACAGTGGCAAAGCATTTCAGTAGCCAAGTCAATAATTCAAAGGCTTTTGAGCAAAAGAATACTATGGTGAGTTCTTTAACATAGAAAAATGACCAATAGAAACAGAATTTATTGCTCTTATGTATTATGATCTTTTGCCTTGATCTAAAAGCCTCAATCCTACAAACATCGAAAGAGTACACCATACTCACACAAGAGAAACAGAAACACGTCTATTAAACAAGTCATTTGTTCACCCAGCAAACATTTTTGGCAAAAAAAACCATATTATTATTATAATTATTTTACTTATCCACTGAAACTTAAGGAAAAGAGCAAGATTCTGGAGTGACATCTCATACGTCAGAGCCAATCATCTTTAAACACTACCTATTCCAATGAGCCTCAGCGAAAATAATCTTGAATAAATATCATGATTTCACTGTGTATGTTTGCAAATGATGGACATAAAATATGTAATTCTTATGGGAGTTCAGATTCTAGTAAGCTAGCCCCCCAACCTGTCAGCAGCTCCTCTGAAGTCAATTCATCTACATAATGGACTTAGATGACAGTTCCACAATTCACATAGAAAATTCATCTCGGGAAGTTGTTCCCTGGAGTCATCTTCTGTATTTACACTGGGTAAGACAATGCTTTTTAAAATGCATGGGAAAATTGCAAGGGGAAAAAAGACCACTCCCTTAAAAAAAATAAAAAGGAATAAAAACCATCTAAGAATTAAATACCCTGTAGTCAATCATGCAAATGACTCTTTCTGAGTTAATGTGCTGCCTGTCAGCGTCACCTCCCACAAGTACATTGTCTGAAAACTCAATCTGGCTATTCTATTCTAAATGAACAGGAAACTCTTCAACAGTATCCTCTATAGGATGTCATGATAACATCAGTAAGCAGGGCGTTGGGCACACGCCTCTTGGTCACATACACACCCCAGATGAGAAGACCAAAGTTCTTCTAGGTTCTCATCAGTAACAAAATGCACACACATGCAGATGAATAAGAAAGCTAGCTTTCTTGGTCTCTGAATGCGTGCATGAGGGAGATACTAGTCTGTTATCACCGCAATCAGAAGGAACCAAGTCATTAGAGACCTTAACAATTTGCAAAGTAGGGTGCATCCACCATCCCATCCTTTCTCTCTGGTAACTATTTTACCAGTCTCTCCCCTAGCGCAAGAGGGACCTGAAAGATAACTGAGAGGTAATTCTTATTATTTATTTATCTAACAATGTTACACAATAGTAAGTAGACATATTAACCGCTGCTAATTGTTACAGAAATGCTTAAGCAGTGAGGATTCCAGAAAGAAAAGCAGAAAAGCAAAATCCTGTAAATGGCCCATAAATCTCTACTAATTTTGAATCATTCAGGGCTGCCTATTTTATTGCATTAAACTAAAGATGTATGTGATGTTATGCCTAAACCAAAGCAGATATAGAGAAGTCTCATGCAAGTCAAACCCGAAGGCTGACTTAGGTCCTTTGCTGGTAGGCATTTTCATATTTCAGTTCTGAGCAGTTTTTTCCTTTATACATAATAATAAATACA